TCTCCTGGATGTGGCGTCCCAGACCAATTCAGATGCTCTTCAGGAACTCCTGAAACATTCTAAAAGATGTCAAGTCTGTGGTCTGAAGCCTAAACCTCTCTGTGTGTGTGATTCTGACCCACAGGTTTCAGTGACGTGGTAGCAGACAGCACAACAGACTCCGCCCTCAGCAGTGCCAGCCAATCACAAAGCAGCCAACCCTCGTCTCTGACCTCCACAGCCAATCAGCCGTAAGCAGGAAAACGCAGTCGGTCCTTTCATCTGTCCAGCTTTCACAGCAGTGTTTCTTTTTGCTGAAAACTCTTCCTCTCCCTCTCTCCCCAGTAAGGACACTGGTCCCAGTTTGCTGGGCTCCCTGAGTTTGTCGTCCAGCTCCCCGTCTCCGGCCTCTTACAGCGAGGCCAAAGCGGCGAGCGGGGGCGGCCTGCTGAACGGGCCGCTGTCCTACCCGCAGTCATCCGACGGCATCAAAGTAAGAACAGACAAACGTGGTCCTGATGTTATGGCTGATAAAAGCCTGCACGCACCGCGACTCTGAAGGGAAACCAGGCTAAAAAGCTTCATCTGACCTCTGTATCCAAACCCAACAGCACTCTTATTTTTTTATTTCCTCCTCTCCCCTGTGCTGCTTTCACGTGCACCTTCACGTGCTCAGCTCATTTTGGGGGGGCGGGAGTAAGCAAAGCAAAAAGAGTTTTCAAAGGGATTTCCCTGACAGCCTCATTGGCGATCGGGCACGTGCAACAGCGCGCACAAGCCGGAGAATGTGTTTTCCCATGAGCCTCTCTGTCTGCCTCCGCCAGCCCCAGGAGCCTCTGAGCAGCCTGAAGTCCATGGCCGAGCGGGCGGCCCTCAGCTCAGGGATTGAGGGGGACGTGCCCTCCCTGCACCTTACCCCAGGTAGGACCCCCCACACACACACAGACACACACACAGACACACACAGACGCACACACAGGCGAACAAAAGCAGAGCAGAAACAGAGACGCTGTGGTTTAATGGCACCAAATGCCATCTCACCTCCCACTCTCATCCTCTGAACAAAGGCTGCCGCTGATTTCATCCCTGACTCAACTCTCCTGCAGTCCCGTCTCCCCCCCCCCCCACCCCACCCCCGCCTCTCTCTGACTTCTCCTCCATCTCCCCTCTCTCCTCAGACATCTTCCCCAGCAGCACTACGGCCCCGTCGGGCCCCCCGTCAGCTCCTCAGCCCTCGCTGTCGGAGGTCAGCATCCCGCCGTCGCTGGGCGTCTGTCCGCTGGGGCCCGTCCCCCTGTCCAAAGACCAGCTCTACCAACAGGCCATGCAGGAGGCGGCGTGGACGCACATGCCCCACCCCTCCGACTCCGAAAGAATCAGGTAAAAGGCCAACCTCCGGTTTTCATGGATCCTCTTCTCAGCATCTGCAAAAAGATAAAAAGCTCCATAAATCTCCCAGTAACACCTTCATCATCAAGAAAATTCTGTTGTAAGCTTTTGGCTGATCTGTGATCATGCTTCCTGCCCCACTGTGTGAGAGAATTTTCCCAAACTAATAGTTTCCTTCACCTGAAGCCGTTCAAACCGGGTTCATTTGTTAAAGCTCGACTGACATTAAATGTGACCCTGAGCCACTCCTTATGTCCACAATAAGGAATGAACAATGCAAAGAAATGTGAAAAATATTGTCCCAAATTGGTAATATACTTTAAATTCATGCAGAAAATGTACCAAAAAGGTAAAATGGCTTCTACTGAGCATCAAAACTCCTAATTTTCTCAGTCCTCGTTGTCGACAGACAGACATCTGTCCACATCTTCATATTGGTGGTCAAACGCAGGAACTCGCTGCTAATAATCTGTGTCTACCTTGCAGGCAGTACCTGATGAGGAACCCCTGCCCCACCCTGCCTTTTCACCACCAGGTGCCACCGCCCCACTCCGACACTGTAGAGTTTTACCAGAGGCTTTCCACAGAAACCCTCTTCTTCATCTTTTACTACCTGGAGGTAAGCCGCCATCACAGGCCGCCTGAAGCTTTGAAAGGGGGGGGGGTGGTTCACAGCGAGAGGCGGGTTTTGCTGTCATACGGCCGCATCACGCCCAAACATAAGGAAAATAACAAACTTTACTAAATTAGACCCTTTTTCCCTTGAATTCTGAGCCTGTGAGGCTGTTGAGATCTGAGTGGAAGCATTTAGTAAAGAGGAAACTGTCAATTATCACACATAAGAGGTCCTAAAAAGAGCAGGTCCTTTTTTTAAAATATTTTTTTAATGCTGTTAAAGGACCCTAAGTTTTTCATCATTAATCGATTCAGAGATCCTGATCTTACTCGGGTTTGACGGCTTTAAAACTGTTTATGTCCAGTTTGACAAGCTGGTTATTTATTGTTAAGCTTCAGTCCTTTATGTTAGGAGAAGTATAGTTTAGAGTTTGTTAAACTCACAGTATTTACTATTTTTTTTACAACAGTCTGTGAAAGTTTGAGGCAATTTTCTGCTTTGAGCTGATTTGTTTTGAAAAAGAAAAAAGAAATCGGTAGATTTTCTGAGTGTTAAGAGCAGAACGGATTCATTTGAGTCCAAATTTGAATCTCTTTTTTCCTTTTTAAGTTCTGAGAAAAACCACGCAGGTACAGGCAATAAAGGCTTTCCTCCAAAGTCTTGTTAGATGAAATGGCCTGAAAGCACCAGTTTTACTTTCAAATGTTACATTTTTGTTCCATTACGCATAAACGCACAATGGATTCTTCTGGAGTTCAAACTGTTGGTGTGTGTGAAAGCATCTGAGCGGGTTTTCTAACCTTTTCCACCTGACTGCCCCCCTGTGCAGGGCACCAAGGCCCAGTATCTGGCAGCCAAAGCCCTGAAGAAGCAGTCGTGGAGGTTCCACACAAAGTACATGATGTGGTTTCAGAGGCACGAGGAGCCCAAGACCATCACCGACGAGTTTGAGCAGGTCGGTGTCCCGTCCGCAAACCTGTCCCTCTGGAGCGCCACTGCCCTTTGTCTCCTTTTCAGTCCAGCCGTCCCCGACAGCACCGACCGACGAGTCGCTGAAGCGGAAGGGAAAGCCCCTAACTCAAGGGATGAGCCGGTGTTAGCAAGAAGCAGATCAAACTGCATTATCAGGCTCTTTGTTTGCAGCCCGTCACAAAAACACATCATTTGTTCCCATTTCTTTAGCTGATGTGACTCAGTCTGTGAAGCAGCAACGTTCTGGTTCTCAGTGTTGGGCCTAAAAAAAATAATCTCCATCAGTTGTTGGATATCTGAAAGCGAGAGCTGGTCCTGGAGACTCCTTAAAGACGGGACTCAGGGCAAATGTTCACATTAAACTCTGTGGAGTCAGACCGACCCTGCGTTTGCGTTACAGTTTCTGCATATCGGGCTTCGCCGTTCCTGTTTTCTCCAGAGAAACGGGGATCGGTGTGAGCCCTGAACCCGCCGTGCGTCAGCTAGATGAAACCTCTCTCTTTAGTTCAGCAGCCTCAACCGCCTCCTCTCTTCTTTTCCAGGGAACCTACATCTACTTCGACTACGAGAAGTGGGGCCAGCGGAAAAAGGAGGGCTTCACTTTCGAGTACCGGTACTTAGAGGACCGCGACCTCCAGTGACCTGCACACGGACGGACGCAAAGCGGACAGAGCCGAGAGAGAGGAGAGAGAAGAAGGACGATCCGCCTGCTGACATTCCTGAATTTGACCTCAGCCCGGCCCGGGCAGGGCCCCCCGGCCTCGCCACGCCACGCTCGCCCTGCCACCTCCCTCCTCCTCCTCTTCCTCCTCCGCCTCCTCCTCCTCCTCTCCTTCCTCTCCATCCTCCACGTCCTACCGGACTCAACCCCACAAACACCCGGACTCTGTTCTGTTGGCTTTAAAAACCCGTTTGAGCCCCTCGAGGACCAAAGAGAATTGGTTGGTCACACGTTTCACAAACCCGACGGAGGCCACACCGGAGCGGCGTGCAGCAGGGCAGGAGGCGGATCCGGAATGTGAATTTAGCTCTTATTCAGCTCCCGCGCGAGCGAGGAGGCGCAAACCCACTCAGGATGAACCAAAGCGAGCGTCCACTCTTCGACACCAGCCACCCGAGCGCACTCAGTTTATCCCAGTGGGGCGAGAGGGGGAACCCGGAGGGGACCGGGCAGCCGCTTCTGTTTGGGAGCGGAGGCCAAACGGCGCCAGCACGCCATCCCCGCCGCCCACCAGCCCGGCGCCGCCCACAGAGGTCTGCCGAAGCCAAACCCAAAAGCCATAGCGCAGATTTCCCAGAGACTTCCTGTTTCATTTGCAGCTGAAGCAAAAAGCGGCGGCTGGCAGCGACGTCGGCCCCTCCTCTTCCTCCTCCTCTTCCTCCTCCTCCTCCTCCTCTCCGTGCCATGGAGCACAAACACCAGCACTGCTGCCCACTCCTCCTCTGCCCTCCTGCCTCTTGTTTACACGGCACCCGGCTCAGAGGTGGAACCGTCTCCACTCGCCTCCCGATCCTTGTTTTTGTCTTTGTTTTCTTCCTCTCACTCCTCCTCCTCCCCTTCCTCCTCCTCCCTTCATGCCAGGTAGATATTTCCTTTATTTCTCAGGAAGTATTCAATTGATCATGTATTGAGGAAAGTATCAGCCAGCAGCAGCTCCCTCCCGTCCCTTTTTCATCTCCTCCGTCGGCGGCCGTTTTCATTTCACAGAAAGCTTTTTTTTAAGAAAAAAACAAAACAAATACAAATATCCTCCAATGTTTGGAGCCACCTTTCTATTTTGTATTTGTTGTGGTAGATTGTATATTCCTTTTCTCTTTTTTTTTCGTCGTCATTTCTAGCAACGGGGAAATCATTTTAAGGCCCGGCGGAGAACGAGGACCCTCCCCTCTTCCTGTTCTTTTTAGAGAGCAGCTACTTCTCAACAGGAGTTTGGGGTGTTTTTATAGCCAAAACTTCCAGAACAGACACACAGAACTCCACCCCGGCTGACAGTCCTGCTTTTGAGCTTTATTTTGGACGAGCTGGAGCCGAAACGTGAACCCCGCTCCGGCCTTTTGTCACAAGTGTTGTATAGACTTGGAAAACATTATTTTGTTTTTTGTCTCCTGTTTGTTGTTGTTGTCGACAGACAGCATGAAATAATGACACTTGCAAAGTGGCGCTGAAAAAGTAAATAATGACATAACCATGAATAAAGGATTGTAAAATATTAATAAAAGAATTACTTTTCAGAGCTCTGTGGTCGGGTGGTGGTTTTTTTGGGAGGGGTTCAATTCGTTGCATTGATTTAGCGCCAAAACACAAACTAAACCCAAAGCACTTTGGAGATACAGTCCAATTTAACCCAATTAGTCCAATTCATTATAAAACCATAGTAATTAATCAATTTCAGTTGATGAGATTCAAATTAGCTCAATCTTTTACAAAGCCATTTAAAAAAACACGTTTCACTTGGATTCAATCCTTAGCGTGCACAGGCTGAATGTGGGAAGAAAAAACTCAATTTGAACAGGAAGAAAGCTTCATCAAAAAGACTTTGAGGCCTCATCTCAAAGCCTTTGACCTTTGACCTGCTAACTGAACCCTTTGGAGTCTGAGATGCAGCTCCTGGGACATCCACTCCAATAAGCTGTCCTGAATGTTTTCCACCTGTGATTAAGCTGGACTCTGATTGGTTTGGGAGTGGCCCTTTAAGCCGTCTCCGGTTGACGCATATGTCTTTCCTGCTCCTGGAAATCTGAGGTTTCCTGACAACAAGCCCAGAAAAACAACTGAACCACCACAGGGATTATCTCCTATTTCGCTCCCCCTCTATTTGACCCAGAAAAGGCCCACAACCAAATATTAAAAAGAAGATTCCGTCCCTTAAATGCCTGTAAAAATTGTTTGTAAAGGAGCGAGACGCCTCCCAGAGGAGTAAAAAGCAAGAGATCATAAAATATCGGCGTCATATAGCAGAATAACACGATTTAAGAGCTAATCTGAAGGAAATCATCGAAGAGAGCCCAGATGATGTGAGTTCAGAGTGACAGCTCCACAGGAAGGACGTCTCATTTTGATGTGCTCGTTACCTCGACTCCTCTGCCACCAAAAACAAAACCGGGAAAAAAAAAACACAACTCAAGGGGAGGAACGGAGTGCGTGCAGGCGCCGGGAAAGATATTCAAAGTGACAATGAAAACATCCCGAGCAGCTGCGAACATCGCGGGGCCCATCTGCGCCCCGCGTCTGGCTGCGCCCGCTGCTCCTTTTGGGGGGCTGCGGGGGCACTCAGCCTCTGATGGTGGGGCCAGCCAGCTTCCCAACAGATGGAGCTGCGATTCCCACAGCTGCATCCGTTTCTGGGAGCCCCCCCC